AATTTCTCTATAAACCTAAAAGTTTTTAAATTAAAATTAATTTTTATTAAAATACTTAATATGTTAAAATAAATTGAAATATTTAAGAAATATTTAAAATTAAAAAAAATAAAATTTAAAACTGACTTTCAAGAGTCATTAATGACATCACACTCACTGTACTATATTTTAATGAGAATGACATCTGAAAATGCTAAATGCTTTTTTTTTGAAAACTATTATACTTCATACTTTAAATCTTGTTGCATTATGCAAACTATGTGAAGAGATGCATATGTATAATTTCTGAGGAGAGTGTCCAGTGTTGCCTATAGTTTTTAATCTTTATTTGCAAAGTGTCTTTATTATGTAAGGGTTGTGTCACGTGAGCTATTAATGGGGAAAATCCACTGCTAGAGCTCTGGGTATTTGCAGAGTTGCAAAACTCAGTATGTGTGTTATTATCCAAGTCATCACTTAAGCTATTTGTAACACACTGATTAGAAGAGAAAACAAAATAGTAATAGGGCAGTATAAAGATTGCTTGTGAAAAAGTGCATTTAAGTTATACAATGTTGAACCCCTTAACTGAAAATATAATACAAAATAAACATAAATATCATTAATAAAATATTAACTCAATGAAGTTTCAATCCTAACGATGACGACAATGAATAGTTTTTGTACGTTGACTGTTAAGGCAAAGAAAACATTGTTTATAGTCAGTGTAAACATATTTGGGAAGGGGCTTTTGGCAATAACGTTCTTGCCTCATAGATAGGTTTCTCAGACCCGTTTCCATGTGTGTGAGGTCCCCCACACCAATAAGCAATTCTCAGACACCAGCGGCGTCCAGAGATGGCATCAAGTTCCTCAGGTTGAGGGTTCAGTCCTACAATCACCCTGTCCCCACTTCAGTCATGAGTCCAGGTTGTTACCAGTGCTTCTGCTTTCCAGGACCCCCTCCTTGGGCTCAATTAATTTGCTTGAGTGGTTCCCAGAACTCAGAAATACTTTACTTACTACGCTAGCGGTTTACTATAGCAGGATTTAACTCAGGAACAATCAGATGGAAGAGATACATAGAGCAACGTAAGGGGAGGGGCGTGGAGCGTCCATGCCCCTACAGAAGCATGTCCACTCTCCACGTGTTCACCAGCCTAGAAGCTCTGACAGCTGTCCTTTTGGGGGTTTATGGAAGCTCTAATTATGGAGGCATGCTTGATTCAACCTCCACTCCCCATCCTTAGAAGTCACCTCATTCACATATCACAAGACATCTTTAAGACTGTCAACACAAGAGATTCTAGGAGTTTGGGGAGCTCTTGAGCCAGGAACCAAGGAAGAAGACCAAACGAATATAAGAAAAATACATTTGGTCATTCAGATGACCAAAACACATTTCTCATGAATCACAAAAAGAATCAATTTTGAGTAGTCAAATCAACAAAACTGCAGAACAGGAAGCCCAGCCTCTCCCCCCCGCAGGGAGACACCCACAAACCAACTGCCTTTGTAAGAAATCCAAAACCAGGTGAGAGGCTCAGGCACCAGGTAACACAGTTCACATGAATAAGGGAAACGAAGGAGTTCTGTCTTAATCTCTTTCCACTCTTTTGATGTGACTTTGTTCCTCTATGACCTGATGATCCTTTTTTCAATTTGAGGTACAGTCCAGGAGACTCTGTGCACACTGGGGTGGGACACACAGTTCTCTGGCCAGTTGAACCAAAAGGACATTGAAAGCCTTACTTGACAAATTCTAGCACACACACAACATTTTAGTTTGATTTATAATGCTTTCCCAGGCAGGGTCTGGCCCATAATATGCATACGCCAAACCTGAAGCACCAGCAGTTGTTTTTATCTTAATCAGTGGAACATATAACCACAAATGTATACACGGGGAGAAATGATTTGTGACGTCTGAATCAGCAGTACAGTAATGTGCCAAATTAGGTCTCTACGCTTTTCTGATTTTTTCCCATTCAGACTCATTGGCTTTTTTCCCCCCTCCTGACATTAAGCACCACTCTGGAAGGGATGGAGAAGTAAAAAAGCACAAATCAGTAGGTCTTGGTGAACAGCCCTTTTCTGCCACCAATGAGTCATGTCCCTTTAGCAAGCCATAATCCTCTCCTCATCCGATTTATCATCTGTGCAAAGAGAGCTGTAATAATATAGTGATTACAGGAACAATATTGATTGTCTAACTCTCAGGGGCTTTTACTTCAGAAGCATTGTCTCAGCCATGAGGTTGATACTCTACTTATCCTTGGTTCACAGATGAGGAGACCGAGAATGAGGGACCGTACCAGATTGCTCAAGGGCAGGCTTGAGGCTGGGCTACCAGACTCCAGCACTGCCTGCTCAAACCACTACTCTGGACAGTCAGCAGACAGCTAAGGCCAGTGAGTGGTCACCGACCCACCAAGAGCTAGGCACTCAGTGGGGGGTTGTCACAAGTTATGTCAGAATGACTCTGAGCCATTATTCTCCCATCTTTTTAAAAAAGAAGCTCGAAGTGTGATCAGAACCGCAGTGAAAGCTGAATTCGTATCTGGGCCTCTTGGTTTATAATGTCTGAACTCTCTCCACTGCATCTGTGGTCATTGTGGCTCTCTCCCCTCTGAGGCCATCAGGCAGGGTCTGGTGGTGCAGTGGCTTAAAATGCCTGGGTGTTTTATTCAGTGCCAGCCTCCAAGTCATTCTATTACCATAGCCCATTGATACGGAAAAATCCATCTTTAATGGCTGCTATGAAAATTTACACTTTGTCTTTAAGAACTTATTATTGCCAGAAATGTCCAGTTATTTTTAATGTTTGATATGTGTCGTGATCCTTTTAAAAATGTATTCTCTAATTTATTTTATGGGAATAATTAAGTATAAAGTTTTAGTAGAAAGACAACTTTTCTCTTCTGGAGAGTCTGAGACCCATTCACCTGTGTGGCATCATTGAAGGAAATAATTTTAGAGCTTTGTGGACCAGAATGCCGAGCCTACTCTCTGTGGCGCTTTGGACAGACTGCTGAACTTCACTGAGGCTCAGTCTGTTTGTCGGAGCAATGGGCACAATGATATTCCCCTCAAAGATTGCTATAATAATTTAATTAGACACTAAGTGGCATATACGTTCAACAATATTTAATCCCTTTGATAACTACTTAACAGATATAATCCATTTATATCTGCTTTGGCTTAACATGGTATGTTTGAAAATAACAAAACCAGGGATATTGGTCTAGAAATACAGAGTAAACACTTAAGCAATGACCTTCCTTTTCCACTGCTGTTTTTTTTTCTTTTTTAACAGACTTCAGGTTTTCACGGCACTGGCAGAGTTCGGGAAGGAGTTATACTCTTATGTGAGGGGCAGTAAGTCCTCGAAGGAGAGCAGGAGAACCAGGGTCAGAAAAACAAAACCCAGTCCTCAGTGCTGCTCTTGCTAACTCTATCATCTCCTCAAATCATTTAAATACCTGTTCTTGTTTTCTCATCTGCAAATTAGAAACATTAAAAATACCTGTTCTGCTTTGTTTGCAGGCAAGAGCTATCTCTTTTGGTTATACCGGAGATGACTTCTCTCATTTCCCCCTTATTTCATTCATTTCATAGCAAGGTTGCTGCTGCTGAATGCTTGTGTTTCTTCTTATTTATCACCAAGAAGTGCTTGAGAACCTCAGGATTCCCATTCTGATAAAATTTAGCACATTCTAAGTTAAATATCTTGACATTTATTTTAAAGAGATTATTTATCCTTCTGTGACCCATGCAATACACTTATTATGTGATATGAACTTCATTATTTAAATATTTTAATATTCTGTTCAAGAACTGGCAGTATCTGTGGATCAGCCATTAGAAGAAGAATTTTTCTGTAGTTGGTGATCCGTGAATTCAGCTTTACTCCTCTGTCCTCTAGACCATTTGAAAACATCTTTATATTGTTTAGGAGGTTTGGTATAAGTGTGTTGTGGGTGTGTGTGTGTTTGGGAGGGGGGTTCCTTTTCTTCAGTATCTCCTCATTTTTATTTTGGGGCCTTTTGGGAATTGTTATTAAAGAATTTGATTGTAGCATGCCACTGTGTATTCACAGCCTGATGCATTCATCAAAATAGATCTAGCCAAAGCATTCAGTTTGTGGATTTGTACTCCTGATGCACTAAAATAAGAAATGTTAATTTCTTGTAGACTATTACTAGATGATTTAAAATATGTGCCAAACAGGAATGTCTGTTTCCTTGTGAGGCAATTCCATAATAAAAATACTGGCACCATAGCTGAAGAGGAGAATTTTATATAAACAGAGGAAAAACAACAGCAAGTATTTTCCCCAAGGACAGTTTTAGCTACAATTTAGCAATGCTGCTTAGTTACTTCTGTCTCATTTTATGCTTTTGTTTTGAAACAAAACGCAATTTTACCTGGATGCACTCCCGGATAATCAGGAATTAGCTCAGTACGTTGACTGGCTTTGCTGAAGGCGAGACCTCCAGAAAATCAGGAGGCTCCACCGCCTCGCCCCGCCCCCCACTGACATCTCCAGAGGGGAGAAAAGGGTTAAGGATTATTGAAGACTAGAAGAGCCAGGGAGGGAGCCCCAAGGAGGCCCGGGAGCAGCAGGCCGCGCCTCCAGGTCCAGCTTTCATCCGCGGCGCAGCGCGCAGCGGAGCTCCGGGCGCCGCTGCGAATTCGGAGGAGGGACGCGGCTGCCAATTTCTGGGACCACGGCTGCGAGGGGTGGGCGTGGCCTCGGCAGTGTGGATGCTTGTTAGAAAAGATGCTGGGCGCTTTGCAGTGAGCGGTCAGGGCTGTGGTGTGTGTGTTGTGTGTGTGCGTGTGTGTGTGTGTGAGTGAGTGAGAGAGAGGGGTGCTGTTCAGAGAGAGAGAGGAGGAGGGAGGCTGAGCGACCCGGAGGTGCTGAAGACCCAGACGGAGCTGGGCGAGGGACTGAGAACAGCACTGGAGCGGGCGGAGAGCCGCTCAAGATCTTCAGGAAGAGCCCAGTCAATGTGAACATGGGGTCTGTCACCGGAGCTGTCCTCAAGACGCTACTTCTGCTGTCTACTCCAAACTGGAACAGGGTTTTAGCTGGGAATTCCTGTAAGTATACATACATGATTTAAAACTTGCAGGGGGCCTCTCTGCAAAACTTTAATTCTGTTCTTTTTTTTTTATGATTATTATTTGCAACTCGGACTGCTGCAAAGCGTGCTGCTATAAAGGAAGCATCATTTAAAAAATCTTGCGAATATGACTGGGTTTACACATGTCATTCCTCTGGCTCCGGTCAGAATATGCCAAGTATAATTTCTCGTTTTTTTTTTTTTGGTCTGTGAACAGAATCTTATCCTCTGGTATTTGTGTATTCGTTGAGAAAGCTCAAGTTCTAGTAAAGCATTAAATTAGCATCTGAACCAGGGAATAGCCTGTGAATGTTTCTTTCTTCATTTCTGCCCTTTTTTAGATTTACTGAATTTTACTGGAATTATGTGTAGCAGGAAAACAACTGGCAGACTTTACATGATGCTGCATTAGCTTAGATTTCTGAAGTTTGCGATTTGGCAGACCAATAGCTGGCTGCGTCTTTAAAATGATGCCAGGATAATAACTGAAATGTACTGCAGAATTCAGGGGCAGAATTGGTAGAGGTGAGCCTTAATACTTGGGGTTGTGTCCTCAGTGTACAAGAATGAGACTTCAGCATTGCTGAAAGAGAGCACCTGAGCCCTGCATTTTGCTTAAAGAAAATACATTCAGGTGATTTTTCAGAAGTACTATCCTTGAAATTTTAGCTTCATAAATTTGTGATTGAATATTCTGATTCTGAGTTAATGATATGAGGGAGGATTTATTTAAGACCTTATTTCTAATGTAGGTATCATCCAAAATAATTTGGCAGAGATCTCTCCAACCAGTTTTTATTAAAGAGAAGAAAAGTTTTAAAAGTTATATTTGGCCTAAAATCTCTAAATGGGAGAATTGCCCCCTTCTTGATGAATAATCAACAAGCTCAGCAAATACGACTTTTTCTTTCTTGTACTTCAGAGGAAAAGCTTATCTGCTGGTAAGGCCTGTTCAAGAGTTTGTGTTGCTATTGTTCACCCAGCTTTAGGTTTGGGGACACAAATAAGCCAGTAACCAGACATTTGCTTGGGCACATCCCCTGAGTGCACTGAAACACTCTGATGTGGGAAGAACATTAGAAATGACCTTACTGGCACAAGTCAAATGGTCATTTACACGGAATGGCCACTGTGATTTCATGCTTCCATTCACTATTAACTCATTTAATGGTGTGGTGTATCTATCACTCTGAAGGAAGAGAACTTCACTCGGATGCTGCACTGTGTTTCAGCCTCTGTTTTCATTTATGGGTGTAAGAATGCCATGAGTCAATAAAATGTGCATGTTTTCACCTAGTCAAAATCTGGGGATGCTGTAAAAGTAGCATTTGCAACAAACAATAATCACACAGACCCACTTGCACACACACAGAGAAAGTTTTGTAGAAAAAGCATAAGTAATACATCGTCCAGCTACTGAAGTTCAGTAAAAAAGGAAGCACTAGAGGTCACTCTTACAATGGAAAGCACATCATTTGAAGTGTTCTTCCCTTAAGAAAAGCAGAGCTGAAGTCTGGCTTAGAAGCAGTCTGTCTTTCCAATACACTGCCTGTTTGAGTTTATAATCAATTAATGTAACTGATTGGGCTACTTGTTTACATTTGTTTGCTTTCTTGAAGTCCAATAAAAGGCAGGTCGACATCCAGTAGCTTTCTTTGTGATGTATCTTCTTCAAAGGAAAGATGAGCTGCTGAGAAGATCTGAGGAGAGCAGAATGTTTGTGGGTGCTTACCTCTGGTTGGGCTTATTTTTCAGGAAGTCGTTTAATGCTCTTTTACACATTCGATAAACTTAAAGAACCTATAGGTTCTTAAATTCTTAGGGACATTTAAATATTAAAGTTGGAATTCTTGGTTACCAATATATTTTGAGGGTTGGCTGTTCTTGAAGTGTCATAAATACAGTTAAAATGACTTCAGATAATTAAAGGTGCAGTTAGCAATTTCTTGTTACTATCGCATTGATAATACTATTTGTTGCAGTAGATATAAAAGAAAAACTCCTTTCCCAATTTCATTTGGTATTTTGGTGTGTGAAGGAAGCAAGGTCTATATATTACCAAGTCATGGTGCTTCATATGTTGTATCTTTTTTGGAGGAACAAGTCTATATGTTTACCAGAAAGGTTGAAATTCAGTGTATGGACAGGTGACCATCAACCAGCATGCCAGCATGAGTATTTTTAAAGTATGATAACTCCAATAATTCTTTTGGACAAGACTTTTATGTTAAAACATGAATCAATCTTGAACACCAATGTTAAATTCAGAGAGAACTGAATGGAAATAAAGAAAATTAAAGGTCAGTCTCTTAGGTGAATACAAAGACATTGAACAGCTGATTCCCCAGTAAGCAAGTCTGCTGTCCATTACATCGGTGCAAGACTGCCTAAGGTTGCCAGTGTGAACGTTTACACAGGACAGGACTGTCTACACCAGGGACAGCTCAGAGATGAGGCAACTTTAATTTGAATGTTAGTTGATGTAATTAATCAACAGGGTGACTTTAATTAGAAGGATTCTGTGCAAACACACACAGATATTCATGTGTATGTATTTGTGAGTGTGTGAACATATGTTTATATAAAGATGGACCCACGTGCTTCCACATCTTTGATGGCTTGCTACTCCTCTTCTAACTGAAGATGAAATATGTTGAACTGACCACCTTCTTTGGCTACTGGCACCGTGCTTGATGTTTCAGAAGTGTTGAACCAGCCACAGGTCTTTCCTCCTTGATCTGGTCAAGGTGTTTGTTATTGTATTGAAGGGCTCCTTCCATGAAAGTTTAGAGACAGGCTCTTCTAGAAGGGCTTGCGCTTTGATAAGTTACACAGGCTGTTATTGGTTTCCTCACTTGCTACTAAGACACGTGTACTGAGAAGGGCGTCATCTGTTTTTAAATTGCTCTCATGAACCCTGTTTTCCTCTGAGCATTAAGACATTGTTGAGGGAGGGGTTGATGTGGTAGAAGAACAGGTGTTAGTCGTGAGGCAAGTTAAGAGTTTTGCTTTTCACTCCTGCACATCAGGTGATGGAAGCTCTCTGGCTTCAGATACACTGAGAATTTTAATGCTTACCAAGCAGCTTATGAATGACATAATTAGAGGTTAAGTTCTTGCTGTGTTCTTTCTTTTCACTATTTGTAATAAAGGCTGTATATCTGATATCTACCCTGAAAGAAGCACTAAAGAGTATGTTAAAATTAACAATAGATGAAGATAATGACGCAAGTAGATGATCACTCCTGAGGGCTATGGGACATCACCTAATTGCTACTGGTCAGATTCTCAAATTGCTCAAATTCAGCCTTGTACTTTTTTCTAGAAGCTTCCTTCTTTTCGTCCACCCAAATTCTTTTCCATAGCAAAAAATAACCAGACTACAACAACAGTAAAGTACTGATAAAATAGAATTATATGAGGCAATACATACATAGTTGGCCTCAGGATATAAAGGTGAGCCTGAACTTTGACTCACTTTTCTAACAGCAGTACTCTATTTGCTTTCATCAATTTGGTACATTCCCCCTCCCTGACTGCATGCATCCCAAATCATTTCTGAGTAGAACAGCCTCCAGCTGTGGAGATAATACAGCTCATAGCCAATAGGTGATCGAACACATGACTTCCATATGATACCTAGTGCTTACCCTAAGTATTTACAAAGCATTTTCATGTCTTCTAAAATTAATTTCAGAATCTATATCATATATAAATAATTCTTTATGGAAGCCAGTCCCTGTATCAAGATTGAATTAATTTACCTTGAAAACAATAGGACTGTGTAGTATCACTTGTAAGATAATGTAATACTTAGTTCAGAGGTTGGTAAAATACAGCCCATGGGCCAAGTCTTGCCCACTGCCTGTTTTGTGTCATATTTTGTGAATTAAGAGTGGGTTTTTACATTTTTAAATATTTGAAAAAAAATTAACTGAAGGATTATTTGTGGCATAAGAGAATCATATTAAATTCAAATTTTAGTTGTTCTCATTAGTAGACCTGTATGGCAAAAATTTATACTTAATTATTATTATATTTAAAATTTTATCAATAAAATCATTTTAAAATTGATTTCCCTCTTGTCATATAAAAACCTGCATAATATTGTCTATTCTCTAGCTCTTTATAGAAAAAGTTCACTGACCTTTGACCTTTGATTTAAAGAATACACAATACAATATAGTGATGTGACCTGGATAGTGGGTCAATTACATACTGCTATGATAAAATTATTATTATTATTTTTTTTTAAATTTATTTATTTTTTATCACAACCATAGTGTATCTTTTTTTTTTTTTAACATGTATTCCCCATCCTGCTATGATAAAATTAAAATGTAGTCTTAATTATTTAACATACAAATACATTCCTGAAGAATTAAAGTGTGGAATGTAATGATACAATTGCCAGGAGCTATAACAGAAAAGGGCTTCCCTGGTGGCTCAGTCAGTGAAGAATCCGCCTGCAATGCAGGAGACCTGGGTTCTATCCCTGGTTTGGGAAGATCCCCTGGAGGACGGCATGGCAACCCACTCCAGTATTCTTGCCTGGAGAGTCCCATGGACAGAGGAGCCTGGCGGGCTACAGTTCATGGGGTCGCAGACTTGGCACGACTGAGCAACTCAACACACACATAACAGAAAACGCCTTCATTAGCATCTTCTTGACATATGTCTTTTTAAATCCTTTATTCTTCAGAAATCTTGTTAGTTCCATGGGTATGAATTATCTATAACTATTTGCAAAGTTTCAGCAGTTTTGGCTGCTAAAGAGTCACTTTCAATCTCAAGTAATCCCATTAGTATAAGATGCTCAATAAAGTGTATAAGTAATTGCATCTTAGATATTTTGAATGAAAATTCTATTGTTATTTTATACTTTCATGAGTATAAAATATTCCACTCCATAATTATCAGGAACTTGCATTTGAAATCACTGATTGTATGAAGTAAATCATCTTAGGGGAAGAGTGT